GATGAGTGGCGCTGACTGGTACGGATCTTTATGTGAAGAGCCCAGTAACAGTAGACAAGAACAGAAACCAGATGCGGTCTTGGGCAAGACAATTTGAGCGTTTATTCCAAGCTGTTTTTGGCCTGATAAAAAAAATTCATGATCCCTTGGGTACAAATCTGTTGCTTTATATGCTCATATGTTTAGATATGAAAAGGCTTCTGTAGATTAAGTGATTACGCAACAAATTGTTTTGTGGATTCATGAAGGAACCTAGAAATTGTCAAGGAGGTTAAATCAGTTGTTAAGGTTTTTTAATATTTATGACTATTTTTGGTTCTTCTTTTTCAATCAAAGAAAAGTTTTTTATTAAAGGAGTTTCGAAAAATTGGAAAAGGGAACTTAACCTATTTAAGGCTAGCCCTTTCTCTCCATGATAACAGTAATTACATTATTTCCAATTTTACAGAAGACTTGTACCTCATTGCAGGAGATCATTAGATCGAAATTTGTAGCCATGAAAACAGTTTACTTATCTATACCATTATATAAAAAAATGAAATGAGGGCATCCAAAGTTTGAATGACATGTCCACCAACGTTCAAATGATGGGGCCATGGGGGTAATTTCATAAATTCACTTGGAAAATCAAATCACCAAGGTGCAGTATAATTCAAGGATTCAGAGTCTCCAATTAGGTGGTAATTAGGTGGTAACTGGAGAGGACCCAATTACCCCCATTCTCAGCACCGATTCTAATTTCAAGGGATAAGATAAGTCCATGTATGATTGTCACTATTATCCTCAAAACCACTATTGTTAAAACTGCTAGTGTGATAAAGGAAATCCTACATGGCATCATCTTATCCTTTGAAGCTGGAATAGAAGGTGAGGACTGTGGTAATTGGATCCTCTCCAATTACGACCTAATTGGAGAGGATACGAATCCATAATTTGAAAGGTAAAAATTAACACTATATGGTGATTTTATAGCACACTAATGGCTGGTTCCACAGGAATAAAAACCTTGAGATCACCGGGTGAAGAGTTTATTAAAATAAATAATGAAGGCTCTGTCTATAGAAGACCCTAGTTTTTTAGTTTAATTTGACCTATACCCCTAAATCTTAATGTTTTCAAAGTTCTTTGAGTTAGAAATTTGTTATTAAAAAACCACAATGACAATAAATTATTATCACTGCGACCCCAAATTTATTTTAGTTTTATTTTAGACGAATAACTATTGATATTTTCAAATTAAAGCACAAAATGAATTTAAGTCCCTTGAGTTATAGGTGCTTATATAAACTTAGGAAACAACAATAAGGAAGTATTTAGGATTGACTATCTGAATCGTATCGTTCTATTCAGTTACAGAATGAGCTAAAATCATAATCTTATATTTGGTAAAATCAGAATTTGGCAAAAAAAAGAAAATGAACATATGAGATAAAAGAATTTCTTCATTTTCATTTTTCAAGTCGACCTACTATGTAAACTCATATACTTTCATATTTTGGATTTTTATTTATAAACCCAAGAACTACCCCGTTTTATTTTTAAATCCCCTCACTTTCAAAATCATTGTTAAACCTAATAACCATACTGATTTATGTTTAAACCCACTTTTACACCCTACTGTATAAACTTATATACTTCTTTATACTTTGGATTTCTTTTTATAAACCCGAGTTTTACCATGTTGAATTTTTAAATCCACTCACTCACAAAACCTTCCATAAACCAAAATACCATAGGTAGCATTTTTAAACAAACTCACTCTCAAAATCATTCTTAGACAAATTACCATAGTCAATTATGCTTAAATTTACTTTTCTGTGTTTCATAGTTCTTTATACACTATATTATACATAGCAACTTTCACCCAAAGTATAGCAACTTGCCTATAGAAACTCAAACATAAATATAGAAACTTAAACATACAAAACATAACTAATAATACACAAATTGGATTTAAAAATAAGTCAGTATGATATTTTGGGTTTAAAGTAAATTGAAAGTGGTAGGTTAAAAATAAATCAGAGTGATACTTTGGGTTTATAAATCAAAACCCTTATAGAATACAATCATTACTTTATCAAAAATTAATTTGCATTAAAACAATTTTAAATTTGATTGCAAGACTTTAACTATTTGTATGCTAGTTATAATTTCGTTGCACATATTAAGGTGATGTACATTATTTGAAATTTTTAAGCAAGGGAGATATAGGATGGAATAATTGATTCTTTGAATTTCATGATTTATCTTATACTCACATCTGTTTTTTCCTTTTAAATTTTTTATGAAATAAGGTATTGCATATTTTGCACGTGCATAATTGCTAGTATAAATAAAGATGCATGAGTGTCTCCCCTTTTTTGGGGTTTTGCGGTTTTGGGGGGGCAAGAAATTGATAAAAGTTTACAAATACAATTATAACATGCATATACAGTCATGTACACACACAATTGAAGATGTGCATGTAATCATAATAAGAAATAAAATATGGCATCATGAAACTTGAAAGTTTGTTTTTGAATATTAAAGGATATTGTTCACTTAAGAAATATGATTCCCGTATATTATGTGATTGCATATAAATTTTAAAATGTCCTTGCATGTATACCATAAACCTTTCTTCAAAATTTACAACAGACTCATTGGCATACCTCCTCAATGTTATCGTCCGATAACAAGGATATCTTGACATCTTTGGAAAAATTGGAGATGCATAGAACAATATCTGTGCTAGTTTCTCCTATCTTGTACGTCTGTTCAGTCTTTTTTATACCTGTAGAAGTTTAAAGAACAATTATTTGACCAGCAAAAAGAAAGGAAATTTAAAATAAAAATTTGCACCATGTTAACCTGTCACTTGTCCCAGCTGATACGTCTTTTGCACCATGAAGTAGAAGTCCTTAGGGTCGTTTTTAACCCTAACAAAGCACCCCACAACCTTAACTTCAAATGTCTCAGGATTCTGTAGGAGTTCAAGCATAAGAGACCTTTTCAGATATGCAAGTTTGATATTATCTACTACAATAGCAGCATAACAGCTTCTTGATGGTTCCAGATCCTTTTTCCTGCAATGATTTATTTCTAATCTGGGGGTTTTATAATCTGAATTGGTGCACCGACGCTTCTTAGCAAAAGTTGTTCCTCCATCCTCCTGTGAGCTCAAAGAAAATTCATCACTCGCATCAGATTGTTCTTCTGCAAGATGGCTCTTTACCAAATCAAAGATTTTATGATATTTCAGCTTTTTTTTCCTAAAGAGACTGTGCAAATTCTCGTCTGGAATCACAAGGTTTCTTCTCTTCTTGTTTGGGGGAAAAAGATTTTTCGATTGGGCATAATCCTTTATGATTTCAGTAACATCAATTTGGTTAAGGGGTTTAGTAGCATTTTTGCCGATAGAAGTAAGAAATTTATTTAGTTCCACTGAAGCCCATCCAATAAAAGCTCTTTCCTTTTTGGGTTTCCTTACTTGACTCTTCTTCCTACCTCTTTTCCCCTTTAAACCTTTGAAAAGTGATTTTCCATCATCACAATAATTCTCCAAATCATCTGGTCCTGACATCGATTCTTCGTCATACGGTTTATCATTGTCTGATTCATTCTGAAGATTCTCGCCTCTCTTCAAAAGTGCATCAGCTGCTTGAACATCCACTATGGTAAGCCCTTCCTGGTCCTTTACTATCTCCCAGTAGTCCTTGAACAAAAATTCATATGTTTCTGTATTGCTGAAATCCACCTTTTCCTGAGGACAACAAGACTCTTGTTAATCAAGAAGTGAAGCAAGGCCTAACATATAAAAATCACGACAGGCGTCAATCTAGGCGCACAACATTTATTAATCACAAAATATGTTGAAAAAAAATTCCTACTTAAAAGGGACTGATTCTAATAAGGAGAGAGGATTAGAATCCAATATAAATGAATTACCAGAACAAAAATGGAACTTATTGAATTAAACTGTAACAAAAATTATGAAAAGAAACATCTGTATATTCACAATAATGGCCACAAAACATCTACAACAGATTATTTTAGTTAGGACCAATCATTCTTTTAAATGGTGAAACATCAGAGGAGAACCCGTCAAGAAGAGCAGCGCCTTAGTCCTCAACCAGGGTTCAGCAACATGAATTCTGTCATGATTCAACACTGTAAGGGCCATCTCCTCTGTTAAATTAACAACTACATGTCCTTTTTAACCATCTAAATCCCAATTTGTTTATGTCTACCCTAGTCATGTTTGTTCCATTAACTACATCCCTATAATGCTTCTTAATTGGTGCACCTTGCCACCTCAAACTTCTTAAGGATACTCTCATTTCTTGTTTTATCTCAAATTGCACTTTGTCCACCTCGTTCTCAGATTATCTGCATTCATTTTACACGTTTATAAAAGTAATAGATTCTCATCCATAAAGCATCTGGTTATATAACTGCATAACAAAGTTTTCACTTGCCAAACATTTTCTCAAATTCTTGGGAAGAGCTGCTCACATGGAAAGGGCGCATAAACAACAGTCCATTTGTTTCCTCAGAGGTAATGTTTAAAGGGAATAGCAGGTTGAAGAATACCCTAAGGACCCAGCCAATACGGATTTTCTCTCTCAATGGGATAGCCTGTTGTGCTTGCCACTTCAATGGGATAAGGTGACATAGAACATTATAGAACTACATCTTAAGTCATGACTTATGGATCTTCATTAAAAAAAGTCATGTTTTATGGGTCAAAAAATTACCAGTTAAGGAACAGGTTTCAAATGAGACAGCAGGTGAAATAAAAACATTAGGGTAGATTAGAGATGACTGGTCGTTGACAGAAAGTAGAATAAAAAACTAGTTGCTGAAGAATATATGAATTCAGTAGCAGTTATCACCCCTCAAATATTTTACTAGTACCTAAAACCCCTTGATTCATAAGGGAGCAGGGGTAATCTGCAATCTATCCTTCTCAAAAAAATGATAATTCGGGGGTAATAAGTTCTAACAAAATAGTTGAGGAGTGATGTGTTACTGAAAGTATAGATGAGGGGGCTATCTGCAATTTATATTTGTGATGATTGCTTCGGCAATTGTTACAGCTATCTGTGCATGTGCACGTGTGCACCTGTGTATATGAGAAGGAGAGAGTTTAGGAGCCACAAACATAGAAAAGTTCCTACTAAAGCAGTATAACAAATGGAGCGGACTTATCCAAGCAAAGGACCTACATAAAAGTTTCAGCACAAGTTACAATCTTAACAAGATAAATAAAAATTTTCCATTCATATTTGCAATTGGCATGATGACCTTAAATAACAAAATGCCAAAATAAATGAATGTACACACATGTTATACACACGCGTGCATAAATAGACAAATGGAAATGAGGTGACAGTTCATTTATAGGGTAGTGGTGAGACCATCTTGCTTGTCACATTGGTGCTGGTGGACTCTCTCGCTTTGTATATGAATGGATACACACAGACATGTTAGAAAGATAAACATAAGTTTTTGGGTCATACTCGCACATGCAATACATATTTGAACCATTAAAAATAATAATAAATAATCCATATGTGAATGTGTGCATGCATGTGTTTGTTTTCGTGCGCATGTCCTCATGCGTGTGAACAGGCAGGGATACACTTCTCCAAAATAAATATGACTAGCTACTTGAGGAATCTGAACATAGTATAACGCATTCAAAAAAGAAATTAAATAAAAAGAAGTCTCATTAAAAAAGCGCACCCCATCAGAATCAACAGTTTCATCTTCTTCTATCATTCTGGCCAACCTTAAGCAATTAATGCAGAACCCCTTACTCTTTTTCACTTGTACAAACTCAGCAGATTTAACACATGATTGGCAGTAAGAGGTTGGGCAGCAAAAACAGTGGAAAGAAGAGATGTCCCCACAGTTGCATGAATGCCAACCTGCCAAATTAATTACACAGATCTATTAACAGCTTTAATATTGCCTAATCAATTATAGTAAAAAAAGAAGGTTGCAGAAATAGGAAATATGAATAGTAAGAAGCATGGGATAACAGCACCATATAAGAAGTTGCATGATTATTTATGTTAAGCCTAGAGTTGCAGACTTGTATGTGCCTGTAAAGCTCAGTGATTACAAGATGCAACTCCATGCATGTCTACAGATTCTATTAAGGTGTAGATGGTCTACTGAAAAGTGAAAGTGAAGGGAAAGTTTACTTTTACATTTTGAGCACTAAAGCAATACAGAATTTTAAAGATGTTGTCAGTTAGTGAATATCAGTTTCACAGGACACGCCATATGATAGGAGGGTTCTTTTCATTGAACTTCCTGGAATTGCATTGATTTCTCAATGTCATAGAAAACCCCGGAAGTACATCTTTGTCACATAGAAGAGAATAGGAAAGGGTGGCAATAGAAGGCATGATCCCAAGAATTTTCATCTCTTGGGAAAGAGTAACTTCCTGGAACTGTATGTATGCTATGGTAATCCAAATTTGTGACCTATCAATTACTCCATGGTACTTTCCATATTAACATAAATAAAAAGTTTTCTGTAACAGTCTTTAGTAACTAAAGAAAGGTGACTCGTTTTAATAATTAGTAGATCATGAAACATTAACTAGCATATACTTTGAACCAAATAAATGCTAAACTAGGGAGATATATGAAAAATATCCTACCGCAAGTCCAGGACTCATCATCCCCCAAAAAAGACTCATCTTTGTCCACACAATTTGGATGGTAAGCTTTAAGGCACTTCCTACAAAAAGAGACATAATAAAATTTAAGAATAAGATATAGTGCCAAACCCAAAATGCACTTTGGCTACATTATAAAACGAACAGAAAGAAAGGAGAGGGAGAAAAGGCTTGTTTCAGTTAGCTTAAGGAAGGGAGAACAGAAGAGAAAGCTCATACAGCTGAACCAATAAATAGGCAACTAAAGCAAGCTAGCTTTAAAGCACATGTGCAGTAAATATCCTTTACAGAATTCTTTTAGCTCTATAATTTATTACTATCAAGCAATGTTATTGCTTAACAAACTCCCTTAAGCACGCAAAATCAGGTAGCTTTTGAAAAATTGATGCGGTTCAAAATGATCAATGAAATATATATTTAAGTTTTTACCAGTTCAGGAGCATTCAAGTAGATCAATCATATTCAAGTAGATCAATCATAAGTACCATTTGCATGAGCATCCTTACAGTTATTTGTGATCATAAGACCGACAGTAATTGATACGAATTACTTCCCGAGAAAAAATGTTACTAGTTACTTTAAAACTTCTTAAGTCTGCACTACTTATGAATGATGTGCACGTGAATGACTATTATATTTGTATGACTAATACGACGCTACATCACATCATGGAATTCTAACAGATGTAAAACAATTCCTGCATCTATCTTGCCCCAATTGTTGGACACCATGACTCGCTAGAATGCTTCCATATGTTGATTCTGATTCATTATAGCATAGTGTTATCATCCTCAACACATACGAAGGTTCTCCAAAAACATGAAAGACTAGAAAATGCCACTGAAGATTGTGGTGTTCTGATGAGTGCTCAGGTCAAGATCTCAAAGAAGTCAAACTACTGCTTACATGTGAAATCAAACATCCGTTGCTCGCATCGTTTTCCACCTTCTAGAATGTTTACTTATATGCATATATCAAATGAGATTCCAAGTTAAAGAGAGATTGTTCCTGACATTTGCCCATTTCGAATACAACGGCTATGGAAAGTCCAATTAGTTTGCACGTAAATTTTCTAATTGGTAAGGTTAAGCCATTACTTTTTAGTTATCTAATTTTCCAATTCATTTGGTTAATTTATGACTTTTTAGTAATCTTAGAAGAACATTTTCTTCTTTCTATTATATCTATTATAGTATGCTCCATTTTTATCCCTCAACTATCATTTTGTCATATAACTCATGCTACTTCTTTCAACTTTGTATTTAAATATTTTTGGAATAAAGATATATAGGAGTGTATATTTGGATAGAAGTCTAGTAATATTTTCCCTGACTTTCATCAAATAACAGCCTTGTGGTAAAATTAGTCAAGTTCTTCTAGCAAACTATTAGTATTGATCAAGGATTACTTAGCATTTCTTTGTTAAATGCAAGCATTTGTTTTAGATATCCCTGGCATGGCCGTTGCGTCGTTGTTTTATAAGGCTTGCCACGAAATAATATGGTCTTGATATAATTTACCACTTTTGGCAATTTTTGGGCGACATATCATAATTTCCCAATATATCATGACATTTCGGCCTCAAAAAAATTGGCCAAAGTATTGCAACATCAACTTGGGCTTTTATTTGTTTTAAAAGATTCAGTTTGATTTATAGTTGAATTGAGGTATAAGTAAATAAATATGCACTTATTTAAATAACCGAAACAAGAATTAGGGCTCAACTGAGACCAATTTCTTTTTCCACAAAGTTTTACAAAAGATGTCACGTCTCTTCACAGTTTCATTCTTTGACGCATCAAGTATGAATATCTATGGTAATATATATACACATTATTTCATATGACACCCTGATTTGTCATCTCCGATATAGCCCCAATATCCGCCATGTGATATGGAATTTTTTCCTCCGACATGCATCCAATATCTGACATTCAGAACACTTTACTCAAGTGTCCATACCCTAATATAAATATATCTGACTCTAGTTTAGAAAAATAAAAGTAAAAAGTGCATTAAGTCAAAACATTTTTGTACTTCTTTGGTGAGCCGTGAATGAGCTACAGAACCATACGGAGGACATCTGAAACCTGAAAGTTTAAAGAACAAGATAAATACCCGAAAAAAATACATTCCACCAGTTCAACAAAAATTACAGAAATCGCCAATATAAAATTTTGATGGATAGCCAATAAGCAGAAATGCTCACTTAAAGCAATGCAGTGAGTTGAATACGAAGAGGGGGAAGATGAGCCCACTTATAATCGCATCTGCGGAGATGACCTCCATCTTTACAAATGAATCGGTAATGCTTTTATGTTAACTTATGCTACTTCTTCCGATTTTGCATCTAAATATGATTTGAAGAGAAAAAAATAACAGTACTGTATATGGATAAAAGTCTAGTGGTATTTTCCTTTACTTTCTTCAAATAACAATCATGTGATAAAATCCCAAGCTCTACTAGCTACGTAATTAGGGATTAATAAGCACTTATTTGTTAAGCTCAAGTATCCGTATCCTGGTATATATACAACTGACCCAAGTCTAGAAAAACCAAAAATAACGTCAATTATTAACTTATAGCTTTTTTCTTCTTGTTTGGTGAATGAGCTACAGAATTGAAATAAAGATTCGTTCCATCAATTCAACTGAAATTACAAAAATAGCAAGATGAAATTTTGATCGATACCCAATACCCAGCAGTGCTCACTAAAAGCAAATGCAGCAAGCTGAATAAAAAGAGGAAAAATGAGCTCGCTTATAATCGCAGAGGCGAAAAGGCAGAATCTGACATTTTAGAGTTTAAAGAACAATAGCATTACTCAAAGAACCCATTCTACCAATTTAGGGAAAAAATTACAAAAAACACCAAGATGGGATTTTGATCGATGCCCGATACTCAGCAACGCTCACTTAAGAAGAGGGGGGGGGGAAGATGAGCTCACTTAAAATCGCAGACGCGAAGAAGGCCTCCGTCTTTGCAAATGAAGCAGTAATCCTCCGAGATTTCGTCCTCCTTCCACTGATCTTTCTTCATTTGGTCGGAGGAGAGAAATCGACGGAGCAACTCCCGTAACCCACTAACTTAGATAAATCATCGACCTCGAATTTGTTGCCCCTCTCTCTCTCTCTCTCTCTCTCTAATACTTTGAGTGAGAGAGCCGACAGAGCTCTGGAAAAGGGGTTTGGATTCTTTCACAAGTCGAAAAGACCAAGCCATTTGTGAGTACAACCGTTTATTATGTTATTAATGGCTGTGATTTTTCTTTGAGTGAAGAAACGGGTGCTCGGGACCACGGAGAGCGAAAAATAAATGTGCGCCTCGCTTTCAGTTGACCGGAAATAAAACTACAAATATAAATGGACAATTTTCAAAACCAACCTATTTAGAAGCTTAATTTCAAAAACTCACCTATTTTTAAATTATTTGTTAAAATCGACCTAGTTTCAGCGAGTTGGCTGAAACTAGGTCAATTTTGACGAAAAACATTACAAAACTTCACCGGACTTCAAGTCCCGTGAAGTTTAAGCCCTCGATAATCAACTTGGTTAGGGGGTATATAATTTCACGGGACTTGAAGTCCCGTGAAATTTTTTATTACCGCTAACTTCACGGGACATCAAGTCCCGTGAAGTTTCGAGCGGGAATTCAGCCGGTAACTCCATGGGACATGAAGTCCCGTGGAGTTGTGACTGGGCCTATATAAGGCCCACACGACTACATTCACGGGACTGCATTCACTCTCTCTTCCTCTTCATTCCCTAACAAACCCTAGACCCCTATTGCCGCCGCCTTAGCCAGCCATCACTGTCGGTGATCGATCCCGCCGTCGTCACCATCGGAGTTGACCAGAATTTAGAGCATCGACAAATTTTAAATAAAATCTTGAAAAAAAAAATTCTCCTAATATTTTATATATTCTCACTATTTCATACTAATAACCTGTTTAAATTTAGATTTTAAAATAACTTTTGAAATATTTATGAATTTTGGGAAGAAGAATTAAAGAAATTTGTGTATGAAGTTAGAGGGAAAATTATCAAAAATTGTAAAAGATAGTGTATTATAAAGGTTACATTTGGTTAAAATTATGGATGTCTAAAATTGATATTAGAGGATTTAATGGTAAATAATATTTTTTTGTGTTTTTCGTGTATTATTGATATTAGATTTTTTTTACTCTTCAAAAGTAATGATGAACGATCGAATCGTAATTCATTGTTCATATGATGGAAAGATTAATTATCATGAGAATAATATGTATGTGTATGAAGGATGTGTGACGAAGCCGTTGTTTATATCAAAATCATATGAAAGTACCCTAGAGGGGGGGTGAATAGGGTAATGCTAATCTAATCTGATTACGATGCTAAATTAAAACTTATAAGGCAATATCCTAACAATATGATATACAAAAAGATATACAAGGATTAACAATGAGACAATAGGCGATATAAACACAAGCACAAGATGTAAAGAATAATAGTGCGCTAAAAACAATCGCAAACACAAGATATGATCACGGAGTTTGGTCAACCCTTGACCTACGTCTTCGCTCCTCACCTCGAGGAGATCTCTACTATAACTCAAGAACTACATAAAACGGTTTTCAAAGATCACCGATAATTTTTATAATGCACACGATGTCAATCAGACAAGCTACACTTCTGTAAGTGTTGGACTACCCGTGTCACCTTTCTCAAGTGTTTGGAATTACAACATTTTCCTAGGATTTACAACCAACCCACTCCTCTTGGAATTGACCCCGATCTTTCCCAACCACTTCTCTAAGTGTTCTTGTGTATTACAACGTGTTTAACAATAAGTGTGAATATAGATTTTATTCTCTAAACAGATGAGAACGAAAATATAACTCACTCTCAATGAAACAATCTCACAACCTGATTATACTAGATGTGAAATACTTAAGCTCAAGTGGGTGTGTGTGTGCGTAAATAATGAGTGAAACGAAATCAAACTCAAATAAATCTAGCTTATATATATGAGAATCAAAATATAGATTAGCTAGAGGAAGAGTTTAGAAAACTTCTCCAAAATAAGAAGAGATAGAGATTTGCCGATGAACGCTTCAAAACCGAAATCAAGATCCTTCTGTGTAAAACTCTTTTTCACATAAACAAACACACTTTCTTTCTCAAAAACGTGCAGCCAAAATGGCAAAACTTTCTTGTATTTTTCTTGGTTTAAAAAATAAGTCTCGAGGATTATTTATAGCCTCTCAAACAGATCAAATCAAAAACTAGCTGTTATAAAAAAAAGACATAATCAGTCGATTGATAGGTATATCGGTCGACTGAGAATTTTGACCGTTGGCTAATTCTGGAAAAAATAAAACAACGTCGATCGACTGATTTAATTAGTTGGTCGACTGGTCGACTGACATAGATATTGCTGTAGAAATTGCTTCTGGTAAGTCGACTAAAAAACTTGGTCGGTCGACTGGAAAAAACTGTTCGGTCGACCGATTTAAATAGTTGGTCGACTGATCAACTGAAATAGCAGTTGCTATAAAAAACAGCCTCTGCCAAGTCAACTGGTTCGATTATTCAGTCAACTGAAAACAGAAACAACAGATACTTGAATTTGCTGAAAAGTTGATTTTCTAAATTCCATTTAAAATAATAAAATAATTCTAAAAATAGTAAAACTTGGGAAAATATTTATACCTATGAAATAAATATATTAGAAGAGGAATTTCTAAAATAGCATTTCCCATTTGTGAAAACTTATTATTTTGCAAAACATACGAAAATGTTAAATATGATTTCATAGATTAACAAAATCGTCAAAAGGACAAAATCGTTGAATACTTGATTCTGATGAAATCATTTCAAACAAGTTTTGATATACTTTTAAATGGATCAATAGATGTAAATAGTACAATTAAGTCTATAATCCAAAAACATGTTATTTTCCCAAAAAGACGTATAATACGATAAATCAAAATAATGTGTATGTACGTGTATGGTTTGAGCTCTAAGTATAAACACATAAAGTAAAACACCTAAACTAACAAACACTATACCCAAGCTAATAATCTTCGTGAAGCTTGATCTTGGTAGTAGGGATGAAGCGCGATAGTATGTCTTTGATTTGAATGGTGTGACACACCTGGGTTCACACAAGGTTGCAGTCCAATGTGAAACCAGGAATGTCATCCATGTCATGCACCAACACCGTACAACAACACGTTTCATCATCATAATTACTATCTCTCTAGTAGAAACGAATAACAGGTGTAGGTACAAAATATGCATATGAATAATAAAGAAGTACAATGAACAAGATGATCACAAAACAAATGTACAAATAACCATCATCAAGACCCAACTGAAAATAGAATGAAATCTCTGAAACTGAATCAATGTAATATGTCTTAATACATAGAGTCAAGTAAAATCCTACTAAGGCACTCAGCCTTTACAAAAATAAAATACGACTCTAATGTCTGAAGGTAAACAACTACTGTGGAGCTCTGAAAATAACTACAAATATAATAAAATGGATGGGAGCTACTATGCATCTCCATTAACATGCAACTCTCTGTGCGTCTGACTCGCTGTCTGAAAAAAGGGGAAAACAATGAGCGTCAAAACGCTAACGAGATCATCTCCACCGCCACTAGGGGAAAGGGGTAGGAGTATATAAGAAAATACGGTTAGTACATATAGGTATAAAATCATGGGAAAAATGCTTCCAGCCCCCAAAAGCTAAGGAAACGTGCTTTCCACCCCCCAAGACTTTATCAACGGGTGTTTTACCCCCAAAAATAAAGATTATGTTCTCTGAGCCCCCAAAACACAAAACCCAAGACATTAAAATATGTGAAGACCATAATACCCTTCTCTCTCTCTTTCTTTTTTTATTAAAATATGATGAGTATTATTTTATTATTTTCGTTTTCTCTCTCTCTCTTTATCATGAAGTATTGAGATGATAGTTGAAATGATTGATGAGGATTATTTTATTATTTTTGTTTTTTATTATTTTGGTTGTTTGTATTGGGAGATTGTTAAAGTTATGGGTTAGTTGTTAAGGTTACGAATTAATTGTTAATGTTACGGGTCAATTGTTAAGGTTATAAATCCTCTCTCTCTCTCTCCTTCTTTTTTTTATTAAAATATGATGAGGATTATTTTATTATTTTTGTTTTCTCTCTCTCTTTATCATGATGTACTAAGATGATAGTTAAAATGATTGATGAGGATTATTTTATTATTTTCGTTTTTTATTATTTTGGTTATTTATATTGGGAGATTGTTAAAGTTACGGGTTAATTGTTAAGGTTACGAATTAATTGTTAATGTTACGGGTCAATTGTTAAGGTTATGAATCCTCTCTCTATCTCTCTCTCTCTCTCTCTATCATGATGTTTCTTTGATGATATTGAAATGATTAAAGAGAATTATTATTTTATTATTTTCGTTTTTTATTCTTTTTGTATTTTTAGAATATTCGTTGTTGAGGATAATGGTTGGTTGTAAAGGTTATGCATTGATTGTTAAGGTTACGGGTTGGTTGTTAAGGTTACGGGTTTGTTGTTAAGGTTATAGGTTTGTTGTGTAGGTTACGGATTTGTTGTTAAGGTTACGGGCTTAATTGTTAAGGTTACAAGGTTTAATTATTAAGGTTACGGGTTTAATTGTTACGGTTACGGTTTATTAATTGTTAATGTTATGGTTTAATTGTTAAGGTTACGGGTTTAATTGTTAAGGTTACGGGTTTAATTAAGGTTATGAGTTTAATTGTTACGGTTATGGGTTTAATTAAGGTTATTATGTGTTTGTTGTGTAGGTTATGGATTTGTTGTTAAGGTTACGGGTTTAATTGTTAAGGTTACGGGTCAATTGTTAAGATTATGGATCCCTTCTCTCTCTCCCTCGTAACCTTAACAATTAAACCCGTAACCTTAACAATTAAACCGTAACATTAATAATTAAACCGGTAACCTTAACAATTAAACTCATAACCTTAACAATTAAACCGTAACCTTAACATTTAAACCGTAACCTTAACAATTAAACTCGTAACCTTAACAATTAAAACCGTAACCGTAATAATTAAACCCGTAACCTTAATAATTAAAACCGTAACCTTAACAATTAAACCCGTAACCTTAACAATTAAACCCGTAACCTTAACAATTAAACCGTAA